GTCTTATGTAACACTTAACAGTGTTGTTATATAACACCATGCAGTGTTGAAAGAAGTTTTCTGAAAAGCCCCGCCCTCTTCCACCTCATGTCAGACAGATCAGTATTTACCCAGCATTCCTTGCTGAGAAATCTTGCAGAAATGATGTTTTTGCCTGTTTATAACCATTAAAGACATTCCTGAGAGTAAAAAAGCGTTGTTCTGGTTAGTTTTCTTGTTCAGTTTGATCAGGTTGTTCAACTTTAAGTTTATGTTATTGGTCAAAAATCGACACCATGAGTGAGAGGTATGTCCTGGTGTGTGAAGAATGGTGACTACTATACGTTTCTACTAACTACTGAGAGAGTGATATTAACTCTGAGTGTTAAATTTACATTCTCAACTATATGGTGTATTGACATCTTGTGGTGTCTGTAAACCTTTATAACACCACAATTTCCTTTGTTAATAATAATAATAATAATACTTTTGGTGATACTTTTAACACTTAATTTTAACACTGTCAAAATATTAATATGACATCCAGTATTGATGAATATTAAACACTGGCTGGTGTTACTGTTAACACTGTATTTTAACACTGACACTATTTTTATGTTAATGTGACACCAAGAATTGTTGAGTATTAAACACTGGTTGGTGTTAAATTAACAAAGAAATGAGTGCTAAAATTTAACACTTTCACAAACATTATTTTAACACCAGCGAGTGTGGACACATATAGACACTTTGTTGGTGTTAAATTAACACTGTGGGTGTTAAATTAACACTGGCATTTTTGCTGTGAAGGAGGGAATTAATTCTCATTCTGAATCGGCTGAAAGAATCTTATACTTTGTGAAATCTTTACATGTTCTGAGGTAATTTCTTACATAAATGACCTTTTGTGGAGTTATTTCCTGTCTGAAGCTGATCTTTTCTGGCGTTGCTTCCTGTATGGTTCTTACCTTTCCTGGAGTTGTTTGCTGTAAGTTTTGTGTTCTGTTCCTTCAGGACTTGTTGGTGTTTGTGCTGCAGGCCATCTGAAGACGTCTGGCTCTGGTTCTGGGTGCTCGTGGGTTTGTGGACCAGGTTGCCCTCGCTGCCCGCCTTCATCAGCCTCTCTCCAATCCTTAACATGCAGGCAGGATTGCTGTGCAGCTCTTTCTTCAAACTGTGGCTCTTACATCCTGCAGGTCCGGTTCGACCCAGATGGGAGAAGGACTTGGACATCTTTAATCGGTACGATATCCCAGGGTTGTGTCTACTCCAAGTCTCTGCTTTCTTTACCTTTTTTTTCTTTTCCAAACTTGAGTTGATGTCTTTGTTAGTCTGCCTCTCCTCTTTTAATCGTTTATTATTTTTCTTGAATAAAAGAAGTGGAACTGAAGATCAAATAATTTTTTTTCCTGTCAGGTTTTAATTATTAATGTCTTATTTTATCCTCTGTTCATTTTCCCGTCTCTTCAGGAGCTTCTTCTACCGGTGTTGCTGTTTGTGATGGGGTTTCATTCTCATCATCAGCAGTGCTGTCCCGTTGTTTGTGTCCTCGTTGTTCCTCAGCCCGTTTCAGATTGTGCTCCTTCCATCCAGTGAAAGTTGGTCATGAAGCTGTTTCTCTCAGTGTTAATCCTTCCTTCTGATGTCTCTGTCAGCTCTGTGCTCTCTTGGTAACCCTTAATGACTCATCTCTCTCTCTCTCTCTCTCTCTCTCTCTCTCTCTCTCTCTCTCTCTCTC